AGAATCTACTGTTTGTCTTTTGTACATTAAGGCCTCGATTACTTAAGCTGATACGATAGGATATGGTTGCATTACTCCTGTCATCCAACATTTATTGACCATGATGGGATTAGATAATAAGCTGATGTGTCTTGTGGGTCCCACATTTTTATCCCGTCTTGGCGGATTATTATGTCCTGTTTTGAGGGTGGGACAATTTGATCCCACCTTAGAATTGACCATTTTGTCCCAAAATTGGCATGCGAAATGCCCCTTTTAGCTTCAGAAGTCCACCAAATTACAGATTTAGGCCATATAAAATTGTCTTGTGGGTCCCACACTTTTACCTCATATTTTACTTTTTTATCCTGTCATTTTATTTTATCGAGGTTAGTAATTGTTTGATTGTTTTTACTTAAAATGCATTATGTTTTGTAAACATTAGACGCTGACGTGTAAAGTTTATGGGATTAAATTGTCCAATCCCATCATTAAGTAAACGAGGCCTAGCAGTTTCTGCTTTGTAATTTTACGTTTATTTGCGTTTGCCTATTCATTATTTTGTAGGTCACGGATATGGAGAATGAACTTCGAGACCTGAGGGTTCAAATCCGAGAGAAGTGTACAATTTCGCTTCAGCTTCAAAACGAGGTCTCAGCTATTTTATTATAAAGTGAAATGCAATTAATTACTTCTTTCTGTGGAGATAGTTTTTAGTGTATGCCTTTAAAATAAGTTCGTGTTCGTTTTTACAGCTGGCAATGAGTGTTCAAGCTGAGGAAAATGTATCGCGAATTTATGTGTTGAACGGTGCTGAGAATTTAGGTTCGATTTTACGGATTCAAACCGGTTCGAATGAAGCAGTAGAGCTCGGGAAATGTTCGATCCAATGGTACCGATTGTCATCTCAATGCAGCCGAAGGGAACCCATTTTAGGTATAAAATATTAAAATTCTCATTTTCTTCAATACGTATTGTGTAATTATTCTTTTGCATCCTGTTTTCCTATTTTTTTCTTCTTTTTTTAGGTGCAAACAAATGTGTTTATGCTCTGGAGCCCATTGATGTTGGACGAGTTCTGCAAGCTGATATAGTTTCGAACGGACTGAAGATTACACTCACTACTAATGGCCCGATTCGACAAGGTTTGTGAATAATAATATGTTTTGTGAAAGATTTTTCTTGATTTCTTCTCTTCAACTTATTTACAAAGAAGTCCCTCTTGGTTTATTTTGCCAAATTTGCAAAAGAGAAAACGAAAGAAAGTAAACAGGATGAGTGTAACATTAGACTATATAACTAGTAAGACAATTGGTTTGTCATTTTTGGCTATTTGTGTATGTTGTATTTGGTAAGCATATAAGCTAGCTTATTTGATTAGTTTATAAGTTTTGACTATGTTTGGTAACCAAATAAGCTATTTATAGTTTATTTGGTTAGCTTATAAGGTTCGTATATTCAAATAAGCTTCGTTTGATAGGACAAATTTTTTTAAAAAGCTCGAGCTTATGTCATAAGTTTTTTTGAGTAGCTTTTTAAATAAGCTCGTTGAAATTTTTATTTCAGCTAGTTTATGAGCTAATTTTACCAAATACTTTTATCATATATGCTAGCTTTTCAGCTACTATATGTCATAAGATATAAGCTATAAGCCAGTTATTAGTTAATTTATCAGCTAGTTTTACCAAATATATCCTTCATGTAATCAAATATTCATGTAATCAAATAAGCCAAATAAGCTTGGTTTGGTAGGACAAATTTTTTTAAAAAGCTCGAGCTTCTCATAATTTTTTTGGGTAACTTTTAAATAGTTTTAATTAAGCCCATTGAATTTTTTGTATCAGCTAGGTTATCAGCTAATTTTACTACACTTTTATTATCAGCTATAAACTCAAAATTTACTTAAAAAGATATAAGCTAAGTTATAAACTATAAACTAGCTTATCAGCTATGTTTACCAAACTTAGCCTTAGTAACTGAGTAAATGCTTTTATATATATTTTTTTTCCTTTTACAGATTTGGACTTGGAAAACTATCTAGAGACACTTATCCGAAAGTCGAGCAATGACTTCAGTGTATGTCACCGTATTCGTTCATACTTGACAAATATTGCATTTTTTTATGGATAATTCAAAAATAATATCCTCCAACTCGCTCATTTGGCTACTTTTTAGTTTTTATTCAAGATTTATTATCTTCATAGTTGCTGAACAGTTATTTTTGTTTACTTGTATGCATAAAAATAATCTTGGAAATAATGTACCTGTTGATTCTAATAAATTTTCCAATACTACAGGTCATTATATCCCAAATGAACGGACGTAATTACTCGTCACACTCGTCTCACTTGTTGCATATTGGGAAAACAAAGATAAAGCTTAGCCGAGGATGGATCACAAAGGGCAGGGAATCTTATTCTAAATCCATGCAGGTAATAAATTATTCCGAAATTCCGAGTTAACTTTTGACTTTGATCGACATTGTTTTTCTTCGCCTTTTCTCGCCATAAATCGTAAAAAATAATATTATGCTATTTTTGTCATTTGTAACATCACTTTATTTCATAGGCTGCGACATTTTGTGTGATAAATGTTTATATATATATATATAGAAACAAGGATTTTAAAATAAAAAAATATGGTTTTAGCTATGTGGATTCAGAGGAGGGGGCAACTCGGCAGCCAAGTCACTGTTTTGGCAGTCACGGAAAGGGCAGTCATTTGTGCTCGTTTTTGAGTCCGAGCGAGAAAGAAACGGGGCACTCATCCTCGCCAGAAAATATGCTTCCGACTCGAATGTAAGTAGATTCAACTTTGAAGATGCATCTTAAACTCGTGTACCTTTAGAGATATAGTTACAGAAAATATTATGTAAAATATTGGGGGAAATTGCAAAATTTGTTGCAACTTTAGTCTCCAAATGATTAGAATTGCAGCAAAACATTAAATAATAGGAATAAAAGGTGAAAAGTTGGAATCTTTGGACTAAAATTGTTATGAAGTTAAACCAACAAGATTAAAAAATGCGTTTTTGCCAAAAAAATATTGTGAACTTTCATGTGTGCGTTTTTGCTCGAGCATTTCTAAAAGGACTATGAAACGAGCAGGTCTTGCTTGTGGGCCCTGATGACGATGCTCTGCTGTAAAGACCGACAACATAGTTTTCAACTAACGGCGGTAGATTTTCGAGCTTCTTTCCAAAGTGTGAGCTTTTGATTTTGGTTTGTGTTTGTGTGAAGATTTCGTTTGATTTGATTTGCCTTTGTAATCCCAATCTTGGCCTTTTTTTGTTTGTAGTTAGTTGCATTTACTCTTAGGCATGGCTTTTTTTTGGTTTGCCTAAATCATTGGTTGTAACAACATATTTACTTTGCTAATTTTTCATTGATTGTTTGTTATTACTAATTTTTTTCTCCCTTTTAAAAAGGAAACGGCTGATTTGCAGTTGTATTTATAACTTACATACTGCCGCTGACTGTCTAATGATTAGACAACTATATTTTTCGGTAAACATATATTTTTATATTTAAATGTCATACTTTAAAATTGAAGCAACAACTCATATGTGGTCGACCAAAATCACTATAGAGCTAATATGATGTGATAAAATGCATATTTGTGTAAATTTTATTTTGAAAACAAAATTATAAGAGAATACAACCAAAAAAAGATGAACATATGGAAAAATTTAACTAAATTGCACCGCAACAAAATGAAAGAGTTGAAACGCACAAAATTGCAGGATTTAGGTCGTTTTATTAATTCTCTCTCAATTTTTTTGGACATTTATATTTTAATTTGGTTCGAATCGTGCAAAACCAAATTATCAAAAAATTAAAAAAGAACCATATGTAAAAATAAAAACCGCAACGCAGAACTAAAAAACCAAATCCATTTCATACATTAAAACAACTGAATTGAACTACACAACACCAAATTGCACAGCAGATCAAAGTTATCTCACCCCCAAGGCAAGACCAATTAGTCCGGGTTTCCCACGATACTTACACTGTTCAACACAGGCCCTATCCTATCGTGCGGGCCGGAATCTTGGTAAATAAACGTGAGATTAGAGGTGGCTTGGATGGAGGCTTGATCTTGTCCTATCTAGGCTAACAAACGTGCCCTTATACTATTTTATTTTATTTTAGTACAACGGAAAAGAAAAGAGAAAATTTAGTTTAGTAAATAAATAAATTTAAATTTAGTATAACGGTAACTATTCAGATTCACCATTACGCTCATTTGCAGCAATCATTCAATCACCACCGTTGAATTTCAAATCCATCGGACGGTCCAAAGTTGATGAAAATTCGACCGTTGTGAAAGCAAGCGCTTCTCCTTCTCAGCTTAAAAAAAGGCGTCTTTTCATTTTGGTTTCCCCCAAATTTGCCTTTGCGCATTTTCAATTAGAAACCCTTAAGAAAAAAACAAAAAAAAAAAATTAAAAATTAAAAAGGGAAAGAGGGTTTTAGATATTTTCGCAAGGTTTGATCTAATGGCGTCGAGACACGTTGTTCAACAGCACAACGGAGGTACTATCTTCTGCCTCTCTAGTAATCTCTCTTTCGTTCGTTTTTTTT